CCACAACTCAGGACCAGCAGCTGCTTTGTTGAAAATGTTTCCTGGTTTTGCAGAAATCAGGAGACGATCTGTTTCCAAGGAAGGACGGGAAGATTGTGACGTCGGATACGGACTATGTGGACGTGTGGCGGGTCAGACCTGGCGGCCATGTTTATGAAACTCTTACTGAACATTATCTCTGCGTAACATGAGCAAGAAATCAAGTGATTGACAGTATTAATGAGTGAGTGGTCCACCCGTCTCTCTCCTGTCCCTCCAGGGTCTGGAGGCGCTGCAGGCCGCCGGCAGGGTGAAGAGCATCGGTGTGTCCAACTTTAGCGTCTTGCAGCTGGAGCGCCTGCTGGCCCTCTGCAGGGTTCCTCCTGCTGTCAACCAGGTGCCGGCAGAACCAGCCCATGTCTCCAGATTTCACGGCTGTAACCTAAAACGAACCGGTCCACCTCGGAGCCGGTTCTGATCCATTGTCTCTGGCAGGTGGAGCTCCATCCCTACATGGTCCAGAAGGACCTGGTTGAGTTCTGCAGGTCCAGAAACATCGCGCTGACGGCCTACAGCCCCTTTGGTTCCCCTGGAAGACCCTCAGAACTGTAAGAGCCGGTTTGTTAGATCTCCTCTGAGCTGAACCTGGGGAGTCGCAGCCATCTTTATCAGATCACTTTTCTGACTCCTTGTATGTCATTACTTATAAAAAATGTTCCATTCTCAATATTTAGCACATCAAGTCACAAACATCTGAGCAGCTCAGTGAGTTGAAATCCTAGGAAATATTTTCTCACTAATTTAGAGATAAAAAACAAATGAATTAAAATATTTAGTGTAGCTAGATCAATAAATCTAGTTACAGAAGATTTACATATTTTGTCTATATATTAACAGAGAAATATGTCACACATTCTCGAAATGTACGGAGCTCTGTTAGCATTAGCATTTCTCAGCTAAGTTAGCACCTAGCGCTAGTCGTTTGAATCATCTTTCCTCGCTTTGGGTTCTCCTCTGGTCTGACCTGGATATCATTATAGATATGTGGATTTACAGCAATTTAAGGTGTGAGGTCAGAGGTCAGCATACCGGAAGCAGAAGTCGGTCTGTTTGTCATGGAAACTTGAAACAGCCTTGTTGCCGTCCAGCTGCAGTCACTGAATCTTTTACTGAACTGTCAAATGAACATGTTTCTGTCACAGCATCAGATTTTCTCAGCACAACATCCAACTTTTCTTTTTCTTCTGGTTCAAACACGCAATGTGTTAACTTTTAAATCTTAATTGTTATCTTTAGATTCCAAAACTTTTACTCCTTTATAAGTTTAATCCTGAAATTGGTAAATCTTTAACTCTCTACTCTAAAAACTCTTAACTGATATAATCGTTAATATTTAAAGGCTAAAACTCTTTATCCCTATATTCTCCAATTTTAATCTAATTTTCTGAAAACTCCAAAGCCTTAAGTCTAATTCTTAAAATTCCTAAATTTCAAAAACTTTTACACTTGAATTCTAACCTTGATCTTTAACTTTTAATGTTTAATATATTTCAATTTAAAGCATCTTACAACCACCTTATATTAAAAACAGGGACCCTTCCCTTAACAGAAGGAGCCCCAAATTCTTTAATAGATTTTTGCTTCTCATAGAACAAATGAAAGGGATAAACAAGTCTTTCAAACCTTTTTCTACCAATCAAACAATAGTTTGATTGACCTTTCACTTCATTCCTGACGCCATCTTGTGTTGCTCAGACACTTTTATTAAGGTACCTTTTCTCACAGGTGTGTCACAAAGTCTCTCTACTTCTCTCTTCCTGTTCTTTACATTCATGCAACAATTAACTCGTGGTCGCCACCCAGGAGACATAAGCAGAATTCATTCAATCGTCACAATGTTCATTTTATATCTTTATTTGGCAGAAATTAGCTCTGTGTTTTTCAGAAACCACGCATGTCGCTCCCAACTGTTCATTATCCCAGCCAATGTGCAAAAGCGGGAAAACAAGAGAACATTCTTTAGGGAGACAGAGTTCGTCCTGGGGTCACCATAGCAACTGCTAAGCTCTGTCTCCATGCCGACCCGCGGTGTGCGAGAAAGCCAGAGGCCAGCAGTCGTCCTGTTGGAGAAAACACTCGTAGATGAGCAGCCAATCACAGAGCCGGCCCTCGATATCGGCAAGCTGAGCCACAGCCCCTGGCCACCAGGGGGCCCCGCAGAAAATGTTGGCTGATTTGATGTTTTCAGCATCAATAAAGTACATGAATTTAATACATTACAGAAAATATTACGATGGTTTTGTACAGTCTGCACAGAAAGTGGGCCGCAAGTGAATCTGGGTCGGCCCGGAAGCTTTTGCAGGTTAAAATCTTGGTTCAGGTTTAGAGTGTTTTCCTCCAAGGTCACCTGACCTTTTATTGCTCTGCTGCAGGAAGAGAGGCGAAGCCGACCCCCACAAGCTCCTGCAGGACCCTGTGGTCGCCGACATCGCAGGGAAGCACCACCGCAGCCCGGCACAGGTCAGCACGGTGTGTGTGTGTGTGTGTTGCACGGTGTGTGTGTTGCACGGTGTGTGTGTGTGTGTTGCACGGTGTGTGTGTGTGTGTTGCACGGTGTGTGTGTGTGTTGCACGGTGTGTGTGTGTGTTGCACGGTGTGTGTGTGTGTTGCACGGTGTGTGTGTGTGTGTGTGTGTGTTGCACGGTGTGTGTGTGTGTTGCACGGTGTGTGTGTTTGCACGGTGTGTGTGTGTGTGTGTGTTGCACGGTGTGTGTGTGTTGCACGGTGTGTGTGTGTGTTGCATGGTGTGTGTGTGTGTTGCACGGTGTGTGTGTGTGTGTGTGTTGCACGGTGTGTGTGTGTGTTGCACGGTGTGTGTGTGTGTTGCACGGTGTGTGTGTGTTGCATGGTGTGTGTGTGTGTGTGTGTTGCACGGTGTGTGTGTGTGTTGCACGGTGTGTGTGTGTGTTGCACGGTGTGTGTGTGTGTGTTGCACGGTGTGTGTGTGTGTGTGTGTTGCACGGTGTGTGTGTGTGTTGCACGGTGTGTGTGTGTGTTGCACGGTGTGTGTGTGTGTGTTGCACGGTGTGTGTGTGTGTTGCATGGTGTGTGTGTGTGTGTGTTGCACGGTGTGTGTGTGTGTTGCACGGTGTGTGTGTGTGTTGCACGGTGTGTGTGTGTGTGTTGCACGTGTGTGTGTGTGTGTTGCACGGTGTGTGTGTGTGTGTGCTGACCTGCATCCTGTCCTTGCAGGTTCTGCTGAGGTTTCATGTGCAGCAGAGAATCCCAGTCATTCCTAAAAGTGACAAACCTCATCACATCCTGGAGAACACCAAGGTAGGACCCAACAGAACCAGTCCAGAACCGTTTCCTCAGATCGTCCCAGAGCGCTCCCGCCTCGGCCCAAAGCTTCCTGCCAGAGATTCATTCTGGTGCCAAGAGCGACGGCATGGAACCGGAGGCAGAGACCCGTCGTTAGGCGGGCTGACCTGTCTTAGATTTTCCCCGACTCGGCTTCGCCGGGCGAGGCTCTCTGGTTCCTCTGGGAAAACGGACCCGGTTCTTCCAGAACTCCCTGTGGTTCTGACCCAGCGTGAACCTCGCAGGTCTTCGACTTCGACCTCGGCGAAGACGACATGGACGCCCTGAGAGGCCTGGACCGCGGCTGGAAGGCCTGCGCTCTGGACGAGTGAGTCAGAACCAGAACCGGACCCGGCTGCTGGGGTCCACATGCTTACTGTGGTTGTGTTCCTCAGAATCAAGTCCCACCCCTACTACCCGTTCGAGTGACGGAGGGGGCGGAGCCAGCCGGACTGCCTGAAGAAGACGAAGAACGACGTGACCCGATCTGAAACGAAAACCCGGTTCTGATGAACCGTCGACCCGGCACGTCGTCATGTCTGCTTTCGGTTTCAATCCGGCGGCCATCTTTGGATTTGCTGTTGATTTTCTCACATACCCTCCCACTAAAGCTAAAGATCTAGAACGGTCTAGAACCCGCCTGGTACCGTGGGTCTTCTGGGTCCAACAACAACTCCAAATCAGCTCACACAGCATGATGCTGCCACTGCCATGCCTGGCAGCAGGTCCAGACAGAACTGAAAGGTTTCAAACCCTCCTTGGTTCTGTCTGGGCCTCCCGACCCACTTCCTTCATGTGGTTCTGGACCGCTCCGGAGGAGAACCATCTGAGGCACTTTAGTTCTCCTGGAAACATTTTTGACATCTGATTAGATTGTTTCTTCCTTTGATCATAAATAAATCTGAAGAAGCTGGTTTCCTGTTTCTGCTCTTTCACAATAAAAGCCTTGAATCCATTTCTGCAAAGATCGGTGGGTGGACCCGACCCGACCCGGGAGACGTGCAGCAGATGAACTGGGCCTGGTTCTAAAAAGTGATTATAATGTGCATAGATTATAGAGCAGAACTTGTGGTTCCGGTGGTTCTGACCCAACAGCAGCAGAACCGGCGCAATTAATGCGGCGATGCTTTCCTGTCTCCTCGGCCCGACTTCTGGTTCTCTTGTTCCGGACGCGGCGGTTCCGCCCTGACAATGCACACGCAGGCGGCGGCGCCGGCGGTGCGCATGGGCAAGTCGGGCCCTCGGGACCAGAATCCGGCCTCCGGGTCGAACACCTGAGTGACCCGGGAGAAGGCGGCGCTCTCCCAGCTGTAGCCGCCCAACACGTAGATCCTGCCGGCCCAGACCGCCAGGCCCGCCTCGCTGCCGGGCCGCAGGAGCGGCGCCGCCCGGGTCCACTGATTCGACCGCGGGTCGAAGAACTCGGCCTCCAGGATGTCGAAGCGCTCGGCGGTGTTGGCGTGGTCGTCACTGCCCCCGATGGCGTAGACGAGGTGGCGCAGGGACGCCATGCGGTGCCAGCCACGGGCCACGGACATGGGCTGGCGGTTCCGCCACGCCTCACCGGGCCGGGCCAGATCTAGGCTCAGCACGTCCCGCCGGTACGGTCCGATCTGGAAGTCGTGACCCCCAGAGATGTAGATCGCCCCCTGGTGGACGGCGCCGGCGTGGCCATAGGTGGGCCTGGAAGACAAGCAGAACCTCAGCAGAACATCCCGGATATTTGTTGGCGCAGATTCTTCTGCATCCTGTGTAATATTTTTATGATTCAACTTTTAAACTATTCAGCTTGTTCCGCTAATGCTGGTGATATTTTTGGTATGTATAAACATTTGACTTTTTGTAATATTCAGCTTTTTCGGGATTTTTGGTGGAGGATCACTTTTCCAACTCCAACCCCCGACGCATGTGGCAAGGCCTTCAGATTCTCACAGATTACAAGAACTCCAACACCTCCACTGATGTCTCCTTCCTCAACGAGCTTAACAACTTCTATGCTCAATTTGAGAGAGGGAACACTCCAACTGCAATTAAGACAGCCACCACCCCAGATCAACAGCCACTGACTCTCCTCTCCACTGATGTAAGAGCGGCTCTGAGCAGGATTAAATCCCTTCCTTTACTTTCTCTTCACCCACGTTTGCAGACCTGTCCATGGCTCTAAAGCCATCATCAAGGCTGTGGGTCCTGATAGCATACCTGGACGTGTCCTCAGAGTGTGCTCTGGGGAGCTGCCAGGAGTGCTGACGGACATTTTCAACCTGTCCCTGGCCCGCGCCGTGGTACCGACCTGCTTCAAGTCTACCTCCATCGTCCCAATTCCTAAGAATTTCAACCCGACCAGATTCAATGACTATCGTCTGGTAGCCCTCACTCCCATCATCACCAAGTGCTTGGAGTAGCTGGTCCCAGCACACCTCAGATCCTGTCTCCCCCCCACACTGGATCCCCACCAATTTGCATACAGGCAGAATAGGAGCACAGAGGATGCGGTCTCCATAGCGCTGCACTCTGTCCTTTCTCACTGGACAGCAAGAACACTTACGCCAGAATGCTGTTCTTAGACTTTAGCTCAGCATTTAACACTGTCATTCCATCACAACTCATTGCCAAACTCACAGACCTCGGCATCAGTTCACTCATGTGCAACTGGTTGCTCAACTTCCTGACCAGTCGACCCCAACACGTCCGGCTGGACAACCGCTTCTCATCCACCATCATCATCATCACTGGAGTGCCACAAGGCTGTGTGATGAGTCCCTTCCTCTACTCCCTCTTCACCCACGATTGCAGACCTGTCCATGGCTCTAACGCCATCATCAAGTTTGCAGATGACATCACGGTGATCGGCCGAGTCAGAGATAACGATGAGGCCGCCTACAGGGAGGAGGTGGACCGTCTGGCTGAGTCGTGCGACAAGAACTACCTGCAGCTGAACACCGAGAAGACCAAGGAGCTCATCGTGGACTTCAGGAGGAACGCTGACCTGCACCCACCCATCCACATCAAGGGAATAGCGGTGGAGCATGTTAACAGCTTTAAGTTCCTAGGAGTCCACATCTCTGAGGACCTGACCTGGACGACCAACTGCTCCAAACTCGTCAAGAAGGCGCACCAGCGCCTCTTCTTCATGAGGACCTTGAGGAAGAACCACCTGTCCTCAGAGATCCTCACTAACTTTTACCACTGCACCATTGAGAGCGTCCTCACCAACTGCATCACAGTTTGGTACGGGAACTGCTCTGTCTCTGACCGGAAGGCTCTGCAGAGGGTGGTGAAAACTGCCCAGCACATCGCCGGGGCATCGCTCCCTGCCATCAATGACATCTACAGGAAGCGGGCGTCTGAAAAGGGCCTGGAAAAATCACCAAGGACTGGACTCACCCTGCACACACACTCTTCTCTCTCTCGTGCCCTCTGGGAGGCGTTACAGAAGCCTACGGACCAGAACCACCAGGCACCAGAACAGCTTCTTCCCCACAGCTGTCACGCTCCTGAACGCCTCCTGACACAAACTATAAGGACTGTACCCCCGTCCCCGGACTGTTCCCCTCACACACATGATCTGTATACAATCTTTATATAATCTGTAGATCTAATCTGCCATTACTTATCCTGTATTATAAAACAACTAATATATATAGACAATCCATTCTTCATATTCCTGTATATTCTGTATAATTTATGTAATTGGTAAAATATGTGCATCGCTCTCATATTTATGTTTATATTTATACAAAACATTTTTATTATAGCACATCAATATTACTCTCTGTTTATATCTTTGTACAACTGTTTATAAATATTTATATCCTGTATAGCACTTCTGGATAGATGCAAACTACATTTCGTTGCTTTGTACATGTGACAGTGCAATGACAATAAAGTTGAATTCTATTCTATTCTATTTTTCAACCCCATTGAAATGAATGGACAAACAGGAACAGCTCCATCCTGTGGCTGGATTGAGAATTACAATATAAAATGTCATAGGTCATTTCCTGTTTACTACAATGAACGATGCAGTTTCAGCATCGGAAACAAGGCAGCAGTTAAACACATTTCTAACACCTGTGGAAGAGTGACCAGGTTTAAAAACTGTTTCAAATAACTTTGCATACATGAACTGCAGCGGTCAGCCGAGCAGCTTCACCGTTTCTCACCTGTTACTGCGGCTAACCGTTAGCAGCAGCTAATTCATTCTGTTGCTAAATTTAGCGCATGCGCTCCTGCGCTGCTGCTGATTGCTCTGGTCGCAGTCGGCATGTAAACGCTGCAGACTGCAGTGACGTAAATCACGAGCCAATCAGTGAATGCGGCCAGCAGCCAATCAAATCGCTTCTGCGCCCGAGGCGCTGCTGGTTCTAACCCTGAACTAAGTATGAAAATCTGAAAACAGCCGAGCAGAACCGGGCCGGATATGCTATGGAAAGTTAACGTGGTGGTGACGGAACCGGGACCGGACCGGTGAGAGGCCTACCCTGGGGACCCCACCTGGGCAGCGGGGGCCCGTCGGCCCAGCGGTCCTCGGCAGGGCGGTAGACCTCCACAGACGCCAGCGGCCCGCCGGCGTTCCTGCCCCCCACGGCGATCAGCAACTCGCCAACGGCTGCCAGGTAGAAGTCAACCCGTCGCTGGTTCATTGGCGCCCCCTATGAGACAGGCGGGTCAACACAGGAAGCTCTGAGCGGGGAAGAGGCGGGACTTCCTCTGACCTCGGTCCACTGTTCAAGGCGCGGGTCGTAGCGGTGCAGCCGGTCGCAGGCGGCGTCTCCGCCGTTGTCCCTGGAGCCGCTGCCGCCCGCGGCGTAGATGAAGCCTCCGAGAACCGCCAGGCAGTGGTGGCTGCGCGGCGCAGGCAGCTGCGCCTGCAGCTCCCAGCGGCCCGACTCGCCGTCCAGTCGCCACATGCTGCCGCTCAGCTCCTGGCCGCGCTCGCCCACCTCAGAGAGACGCAGACGGGCCGGTGTTAACCTTTGACCTCACGTTTCAGGTTGGTCTGGAGGAAAGCGGCAGTACCTCTCCACCAATCAGCAGCAGCCGCTCCGCCCCGCCCCTCAGCGAGGTTCGGTTCGTCTGCAGCAGCGGCTGGGCGCAGGGCCGGGCCTGGTACCGCAGCGCCTCCTCCACCAGCTGCTGGCAGCCGGTTCCGTCGGGCAGCTGGGCCCGGATCGCTGGAAGAACCCGGGCCACCAGGTCTCCGGCCGGCATCAGGGGGAACCGGATGTGGGCCAGCAGCTGCTTTGCGTGTGGAGTCCGGTCCGGGTTCTGGTCCAGCCATTGCAGAGCGACCTGCAGGAGGCTCTGCTCGCTGTCGAACTGGACCTGAGGCAGACTGAGAGGCTCCAGAACCGGCTCCAAGCGTTTGGACCTGAGACTCAAGAGTCTTACCTGGCTGCTGGACAGATAGGAGGTCAGCTTATGCAGCGGAAGGTTCTGGAGGAAGTCTGGAGTGAGGCGGAGTCTGGAGAACCGGGCCAGAACCCAGCGGTCGATGCAGCTGTCCAGCCGCTCCAGGCTATAGAACCGGGCCAGCTGCTGCAGGTCCAGGTAGTTCTCCTCGCTCACCTGCTGCTCCAGGTACTGGCAGCAGAAATCCACGGCTCGCCACAGCTGCAGAACCAGAACATTCTGGTAGTGGATCAAACGAGGAGATTTCACTCCTCCCTAACCCGAACAAAGTCTGAGCTTCAAATAGGCCACGCCCACTGGCTCTGGTACCGGGTCCCCTGGCAGCGTCTCACCTGCAGCAGGTGCGCGGCCTCCAGCACATCGTCGACGTTTCTTCCATCCAGCTGCAGCTGTCCGCTGTACAGGAAGTCCAGAACCACCTCCAGACCCACAGAAGTCACGCCCTCCAGCTGCACCTGGGACACCGGTTAACAACTAATTAATAAAGCTTTGACTAGGACACAGCCGTTCTGCTGTAAAGAAATGATCTTCGTCTCTGAACTCACAGAGGGCAGAGGTCCGATCAGAACCTTGCGGTCCGATCAGAACCCTGCGGTCCGATCAGAACCCTGCGGTCCGATCAGAACCCTCCGGTCCGATCAGAATCAGAGTGTTCCCACGGTGTGATTAGTTCAGGTCTACCTCTGGCTGGAGCTCCTCCCTCATGCCCAGGCTGAACATGGCCTGGAAGTAGGGGCTGCAGACGGCCAGCAGGGCCCGATGGGCCCGGAACCGCCGGCCCCCCGCCACCAAAATCACATCACAGAACCGGGTCTGCTGGCGCTGATCGCTGAAGCCCCGCAGAACCTCCAGGGCCTGCTCCGGGAAGAGGAACATCTGCAGGGAGGCAGAGGCCCGTTAGATCCTGGGGCTGCGGCACTGATTCTGGTGGAACCGGGTCACACAGAACCGGGTCAGTCAGAACCTGGCATGGCAACCGACACCAATCAGCCGCACTCGGTGATGGAGAGGATGGAGTTATGATGAGCCGATGACATGAAAACACTAGAGGAGGCTGGAGAACTACATTACCCAGAATGCAACAGTCATAACCATGAAGCACCTCAGTATCTGCTGCAGCTGGGCTGCTCTCACCTGTGATGGTTCGCTGACCCGGCAGAACCGACCTGGATGGTCCGGTCCGTCCATGACAATCACCTGGGAGACAAAGACGGAGACACTGAGAGACAGACAGACACAGAGAGAGACAGACACTGAGACACAGAGAGACAGACAGACAGAGAGAGACAGACAGACACAGAGAGACAGACACTGAGACACAGAGAGACAGACAGACAGAGAGAGACAGACAGACACAGAGAGACAGACAGACACTGAGAGACAGACACAGAGAGACAGACAGAGAGAGACAGACACTGAGACACAGAGAGACAGACAGACACTGAGAGACAGACAGACACTGAGAGACAGACAGACAGACAGAGACAGACACCGAGTCCTAACCTGCGGCGGGACATTGTCTTTTTGAGGCAAGCAGGAAACCCGCTGCTAGTTTTCATGTTAGCTCGTCTCTACTGTTGACTTCCGCTAAGGGCTTTCAAAATAAGGTCGTAAGAAAGAGTTTATTTTTTTATTATTAAACACTTTCATAAATAATATACATACATATAACCCAATTTCACAAAATCACGTGGCATGTACATACACAAAGAAATCAAATCTTACAGACTTAAGGTCTGTAAGATTAATATTGTCTTTTATCATTATAAGACAATAATAGAAAAGTTAAATAAAATTATAAATAAATAAAATTGTCAGATCAAACAGAGATAGGTCAACGACAAAAACAAACAGAAAAAAGGGGCATTAGTTCTCAAATTCAGAGTATTATAGACTTTTGCAGCCGTACTGCATGTTTGTTTTCGTCAGTTTTAAGGTTCTATCAAAACATTCAACTAAAGAAATGATTTAATTCAGAGTGAAACGTCGCTATACGCGTGACGACAGGACGAGAAAATATTTATTTTGTGAAAGAAATCTGAACGTTTTCTCCCGTCTCTTATTTCTAAATCAAATATTTCAACCGGAAGTTTTGTCTTTTTTGTGTGAGCGTTCAAGACTAAAAATGTTAACAAGACGTTTAAAAACGATGTCAGTAACAGCAGGTGGACTTTGGCGAACTGCATTACCCACAATCCATTGCTGCATGTAACGTTTTGAGTTAAAAGGCGGATTTATGACAAGGTTTTGTTTGAGTCTCAATAGAGATATATAGAAAATATCGTCACATTAATAATAAGAATGTTTGATTAGATAAAGTGAGCAGAAAACAGAATAAATAAAAAAAGAATAGTCACAAACTAAAAGGAAAGTAAAATAAAATGCAAAACAAATTTCACATCTCAAATTAAGATATTAACATATTGGTATAAAGATTGGGCTTTTGTGACGTTGCATTGTTTAAGCACTCTAACATAAAATTATTTCAGTTTAAAAATGGAGGTGATTTTTAGAAAGCAGTATTTGTGAATAAATCTTAGAATTAAATATATTATTATTTCACTCCTTATCCCCTGTCAGAAGACCAAATTGTGTTTTATTAATACTTAAATATAGAATAGATTTATTGTGTAATATCCACTTTCTAAAATCTTTCATTCTCAACTGAAAAAAATTGTATTATCTCAAAATGTCACAAAATGCAGGAATTGATACATATTTTGAATTTCTTTATCAAAAAGTCATTTTAGGAAAAACTTTACACAAAATTATGAAATTAATATCTTAGGTTTTGTGGGAGTGGAATAGAAAGCTGTTTGTTTCTTATAATCATGATTTTTAAACAAATGTTTTTTTCTCAGACTAGAGGACAACGCAGGAGGATGGTGGGTGGATGTTAGGTGGATGTTGGGTTGATGGTGGGTGATGTTGGGGATGTTGGGTGGGTGGATATTGGGTGGATGTTGGGTTGATGGTGGGTGGATGTTGGGTTGATGGGTGGGTGGATATTGGGTGGATGTTGGGTTGATGTTGGGTGGATGTTGGGTTGATGGTGGGTGGATGTTGGGTTGATGGTGGGTGGATGTTGGGTGGATGTTGGGTTGATGTTGGGGGGATGTTGGGTGGGTGGATATTGGGTGGATGTTGGGTTGATGGTGGGTGGATGTTGGGTTGATGGTGGGTGGTGGATATTGGGTGGATGTTGGGTTGATGGTGGGTGGATGTTGGGTTGATGTTGGGTGGATGTTGGGTTGATGGTGGGTGGATGTTGGGTTGATGGTGGGTGGATGTTGGGTTGATGGTGGGAGGATGTTGGGTGATGGTGGGTTGATGTTGGGTTGATGGTGGGTGGGTGATGTTGGGTTGATGGTGGGAGGATGTTGGGTTGATGGTGGGTGGATGTTGGGTTGATGGTGGGTGGGTGGATGTTGGGTTGATGGTGGGAGGATGTTGGGTTGATGGTGGGTGATGTTGGGTTGATGGTGGGTGGGTTGATGTTGGGTTGATGGTGGGTGGATGTTGGGTTGATGGTGGGTGGGTGGATGTTGGGTTGATGGTGGGTGGATGTTGGGTTGATGGTGGGTGGATGTTGGGTTGATGGTGGGTGGGTTGATGTTGGGTTGATGGTGGGTGGATGTTGGGTTGATGGTGGGTTGATGTTGGGTTGATGGTGGGTGGATGTTGGGTTGATGTTGGGTGGATGTTGGGTTGATGGTGGGTGGATGTTGGGTTGATGGTGGGTGGGTGGATATTGGGTGGATGTTGGGTTGATGGTGGGTGGATGTTGGGTTGATGTTGGGTGGATGTTGGGTTGATGGTGGGTGGATGTTGGGTTGATGGTGGGTTGATGGTGGGTTGATGTTGGTTGATGGTGGGTGGATGTTGGGTTGATGGTGGGTGGATGTTGGGTTGATGTTGGGTGGATGTTGGGTTGATGTTGGGTGGATGTTGGGTTGATGGTGGGTGGATGTTGGGTTGATGGTGGGTTGATGGTGGGTTGATGTTGGGTTGATGGTGGGAGGATGTTGGGTTGATGGTGGGTGGATGTTGGGTTGATGGTGGGTGGATGTTGGGTTGATGGTGGGTGGATGTTGGGTTGATGGTGGGTGGATGTTGGGTTGATGGTGGGTGGATGTTGGGTTGATGGTGGGTTGATGGTGGGTTGATGTTGGGTTGATGGTGGGAGGATGTTGGGTTGATGGTGGGTGGGTGGATGTTGGGTTGATGGTGGGTGGATGTTGGGTTGATGGTGGGTGGATGTTGGGTTGATGGTGGGTGGATGTTGGGTGGATGTTGGGTTGATGGTGGGTGGATGTTGGGTGGATGTTGGGTTGATGTTGGGGGGATGTTGGGTGGGTGGATATTGGGTGGATGTTGGGTGGGTGGGTACTGATTAATGTGATTTTCCCTGTGATGTCATTGACGGCAGGCCGTGTTTGTGGTTCTGTCAGCTGTTGTAAATAATGCTGGAGATTCTTAATGTCTGACTTATTGTTTCCATAAAGTTGCTCTGATCTGCCAGTTTCAGTGTCTTTATTGATTTCATCATAAACATGAAATGGAGTTCAGACCTTCACATTCAGCTTTTTGACAAATAATCAGGATATTATGAAAGAGTTTGGAGTTTTCCTTCTGTTTTTCATTTCAGTGTAATCATAATCATCAGTCAAATCTTCAGCTCAAAAAGTCGAAATTGTTAATAAACCCGAGTCTTTATTTGAGTCAGTCTCTCCAGATTTCCTGCTTGTGGACTTTAGTTTGAAGAGTCCGTCCCGGAAGCTGTGTTTGCGTGTTGGCGCAGCTTGACAGCGCCCCCTGGAGACGCCGTGCGGCCAGAAGGAGGAGGTGATCGCGTCTCCTGCAGCAGCCTGGTTGACGAACAGCACCAACGCCCATAAAGTGGACCCATCCAGGAAATGAAGCCACTTTCTCGCAGAAGCGCCGCTTCGTCCCGTTAACTCTGCGACTCCCGCAGCGCCCCGCACCGCACCGCCACTCGTTTTCTCCCGCACACTCCCGTCCTCCTCTCAGCATCCTCCGCTCCACTCAGCTGCTGTTTCAACCCGGTTCGGTCCAATTTAGGTGCATTTTCCTCCAGAACCATGACGACCCAGATCGATAAAGAGGCCTGCAGAGAAGCTTACAACCAAGTTCGAGACGACAACACGGAGACCAGCTGGTGAGTCCATTCAGAAAAACACATTTTACTCTTTATTCTCAGACAAAATGCGTCGCGGACATAAAGCGGGCCAGAATCGGAACCACCCACTAGTTCTTAGTTCTTCGGCTGGTAAAGGCCTGATTAGTTCGGGTTTTATTTCCCCTGAAATGATTTTCTGTTGAAATCTGAGCAGCTTCTTCCTCACAAAGCGGGTTCTGTTCTGCAGCTGCAGGTTCGAGCAGCTCGGTTCGTTTCTGCCTCATTAATTCAGATTTTATTAGAAACAAAGAGCCGCACCTGCTGCTTCCCCTCCGAACGCAGCTTGCCGGTTCGGTTCCGGCTGCCAGCGGCCCGGTTCTGGTGCTGGTGCGGCCCAGCGGGGCAGAACTAATTCACTTTGTCCTGTATTCATGGAGCTGAAGGCTGTGACGTCACTGGAACCATTCTAGGAGTGGGGATCCCGACTATCATGTGGACCCATTCTGGAGTCAGAACCAGAACCCAGCTGATCTCTGATTGGTGACGTTCGGTGGTTCGGTGCAGTAACGACCTGCTGCTGTTCCTGCAGGGCTGCGTTCAAGTACGAAGGTTCCACCATCGTCCCGGCGGGCGTGGGCACCGAATACCGGGACTTCAAGGAGCTGTGCACAGGTGAGGAGTCAGGGCTTCACTGGCCGTGATGCGGCGGGCCCGGTTCTGCTGCAGCCTCGGCCCGGTTCTGCTGCAGCCTCGGCCCGGTTCTGCTGCAGCCTCGGCCCGGTTCTGCTGCAGCCTCGGCCCGGTTCTGCTGCAGCCTCGGCCCGGTTCTGCTGCACTTCCTGCTCGGCGGCTCTCGGGTCTCTGAGCTCCTTATTTAGCAGCGAGTCGCTGAGAGGGAGGAGCCAATCAGATCCTGGAGAGCAGCAGGAAGTGATGACAACAGAACAGGAAGTGATGACAGCTCAGCTGAGAGCAGGTTCTTTCTCAAACTGTCTGTGGGATTAGAAACCCACTTCCTGGTTCCAGAGCCGGTACCAGAACCCGAGCAGTGGGCCTCCAGCTCTTCTCTTAATCTTCACATTTTGAATATTTGAGATTTTTATTTTATTTGAAAAGCAAAATGTGAAACGTTGCCTCAAGGCTGGAAGAGGTCCAGGTTCTTAGAGGTTCTGGTTCTGGTTTATGTGAGCCGAATAAAGGAAAAACAGTTCATGGCTGTGATGCCTTTAAGGAACAGGAGAAAATGGGACTTTTTAGTTTTTTAATAGAACCGGTCAGGAGAATTTGTCCCGGTTCTGGTTCTGCTGCCTCATCATCTCCCTGCTGCTTCCTTCGAGTCAGGGGCGGAGCCACGAAACAGGAAGTGCAGGGCTTTGGGTCGGGCTGCAGGGTTCTTTTGGTTCTGGTTCCTCAATCTGCAACAGAAACTGGAATGATAAACGAGCTGGTCCGATCCCGTGATTCGGTGTTCTGACCCGGTCCAGTAGTAATGCTGGTCTGAGAGCAGCTCTCCTGTTTCACAGAGGTTCTGGAAGCTTCTACTGGACCGGGTCGGAACCTCTGAGCTCAAACCGCTTCAGGTATTTCAGTTGTTTCTCCAGAAAACCTCCAGGGAGTTCTGGCTCTGACCCGGACTCCGATCCAGATTCTGATCGGCTGAACTCGGACTCTGACCGGGTCGCACTGAAATAACCTGAATTTAATGTAACGCTGCGTTTTGTATAAACTGGACGATGTTTTAATGAAGGCCAGAGCCAGAACAGGAACGACAAACCCATTCTGGTTCTGATGTTTCCGGACCCAGTTGTTGGTTCGGATCAGAAGCACCAGACTGGTGTTAGTGGAGTTCTGCAGAACCGCTCACGTTCTCCTCGTCCCCAGATGACATCCCTCTGTTCGGCTTCGTCCGCTTCACGACGGGCGACGCCATGAGCAAGCGGGCCAAGTTCACGCTCATCACCTGGATCGGCGAGCGCGTCGGCGGCCTGCAGCGCGCCAAGATCAGCACCGACAAGACGCTTGTCAAGGACGTGGTGCAGGTAGGAACCGGAGGAACCGGGCCCAGAACAGAACCCACCTCGAGGTCCCTTTTAACCGAAGCTCTGTTCTCTGCAGAACTTTGCCAAGGAGTTCATGATCAGCGAGCCGCGGGAACTGGAGGAGGAATACTTGTGCTCCGAGCTGAAGAAGGCCGGCGGCGCCAACTACGACGCTCAGGCCGAGTAGAGGAGGTCCAGTGGAGGGAACCGGGTCGGGGAACGGGGCTCGGTTGGACTCGGGGTTTGGGGGGAGGGAGTGTTGGGGCGGGGCTGCTACCTCTCAGGAAGGGAGAGAGCGCAGATGACCACTAAACTTAGATTTTTACACCTCTTGATGAAAACTTGATCCTACAGGAAACGCCATCTACTTCGTGTCGTCTGCCGGGTGCTTGAATCCACACCTTAACCTGTTGGTACCAGAAACAACATTCTGCACCTGCTAAAGGAAGCGCTTTTGCTGGAGAAGCTGGGATAAATGATAGCCTAGCTTATCTTAGCACCAAAACTGGAACTTGGGATCCAGCCTGGAGCTTCAGTTTAGGTTTATTTTGCTTCCATCTATCTTATAAAATGATTCTCAGCCATTTCTACCACTTCTTTCTGTAAAGTTAACACTGTTAGCTGAAAATGCTAATGCTCTGACAAAGCTAACAGCTGAAGCCTCAAGGTCTTAAAGGGATAGTTCATGTTATGTGACTAGGGTTCTGTGAAGTGTGTGTGAGTGGTTACTATGTTCATCACAGGAGCGTCTTCAGCTCAAGAAGAGTTTCCTTCTGAATGTTTCCATGTCACAGCAATTTACAGCAAGCTACATGTTTTCTAAAACTTCATAAAAATATTTAGTTTGGACTCGTTTTAAAATCTCTAGCCATTAGCTGTAGCCTACGGAGGAAGCTAGCCTGGAAAGCAGGGGAGTCAAACTCCAGTCCTTAGGGCCACTGTCCTGCAGTTTTTAGATGTCACAGGTACAAAACACAGGAATGAAATGGCTTCATTACCTCCTCCTTGTAATGAATGACCTAATTATTCTATTCAGGTGGTGCAGCAGAGGCACATCTAAAAGTTGCAGGACACCGGCCCTCCAGGACTGGATGCTGACAGCCCTGCTGTAAAGTAATATAGTTGGTACACATAAGCGCTCCGTAGAACCCCATTTCATCCTGTTCATTAGAAGTGAAGCAAACGAGACATTTAGGTGTTTGTTACTCAACTAAAGCAGGTTTTATCGGCACCTTAAAGAGACATCCATGCCTCTGAGGTTCATCAACACGCCGCCATCTCAGCAAGGCCTGACCTCTGACCTGGACAGCTCACCCAGGAAGGAACCCACGTCCATCTTCAGAGGCCTGCAGCCGCTAGCTGTTAGCTTCCTGTGTTTCCATGGAGACCAGCAGGACTCGCTCTGAAAATGCAGATCGGTTCATGCAAACGGTGACGGGCCGGCGAAGGCTGCCTTAGTGGAGAGAGGTGCATCATGGGACCTGGAGGACGCTGCACTGTGATTGGCTGCTCCTGCAGGATGTGAGGCGCTTGGTTTTATTGTTTCAACTCTTCCTGCTCCCAAGAATAAAGAAAAATTCATTTTTCTGTCTTTATAAGTTTCTACAAGAGTTTGATTGTTTCCATTTTTCTATCTTTTAACATTGGTGAAGACTTTCCAAAAAAATCATGCAAAAAAGAAAACAGAAACAAGTCATTTCAAAATAAAATTTGATGTTTGGATTTTCCAGATGCTGCTTCTCTGGGTGTCTGTGTCCGAATCTCATTTTAAGATCTTATGTTTGCTGATCTTACATGTTGAATTCTGAGTCATGAAGCTGCTTGTCAAAAGGTCAAACATTTATAAATACATTAATATCATAGTGTACAGTTTAACAGAAATCTTCATGATCCAAAGGATGTGGAACAGTATACGATGTCTTTAACGTGAAAAATACACGTGCAATAATAGCATAGAAGTAAAACAGTAAGTTGTTCCTGAGGAGAAAAATTCAGGTGTAACATCAGCAAAGCATCATGAAACATGAAAAATAAAAATGAATACAGTAATATCCACTACAGTGAGGATTTTAACATCAAATGTTGAATTGTATCAAAAATACAGATTATTAAAGTCAACAGATTATTGACAATAAGAAAAACTAAAAACTGCAGGGTGTGAATACTAATGCAGTTTGGTGAAGGTTAGAATCTAACAGCTGCAGGATCTGCAACAAGCGTCCTGAAGACAACACTGTTAGCACACAGCTAACCCAAACTAAATCTGTTTTTCATACAGGTTTCATTTCCATGAAAACCATGAAATTTGTTGACCTTTTAGACTCCGGCATTTCCAGGCCTGCTGAAGATGTGACCTTTGAACCCGAGTTACCTGGTTGCATTTCTCTTGTTATAATCACACAGAATGTGTGATTTTGGTTATATGTGTTGCTCTATATTTGACTGAAACACCCCTAAAAAATGTCATTGTTTTAATCATGTTACTTTAAGATCAAAAGCTCCTCCTTTTTATTTCTTCTTCTGTGGTAGTGAAATGTTTCCACCCCTTAGGCCTCCTTTTTGTCATGTCCTGTGGGAGAGGTGTGAGCTGTTTATTTTTCATCTAAATACATCCAGTTTGTACAGTATATAGATTTATGAAGTTAATTTCTGTTATGTATTTTTGTTTTGGGTAGGACTTGGAGTAGGCCGCCAGTAACACGTTGGTTTCTGTTTGTTCTCGTCAGAATAAATGGAGAACTCATCCATTTTAAAGACAAACCGTGTCACGGCCTGATCACAATAAAACCAGCACAAAGCAGAAAGGATCCGGTTACCCTGCATCAGAATGAGGGGTTAGCTGCAGTAACTAGCGACCCGACAGGAATATTGTCCGGTCAGAGATGGGGTTCTGCACGCAAAGGGAATGTTAGCATGCAGAACCTGTGGGAGTCCAAACAAGGACTGGCAGAACGGTGCTGCATTCCTCAGGCCGCCTTTGCGCCGCAGCATGCCCCACACGCCACAGGAGTCACATGTTCTGGCAGAAAGCCCGGCTATTGTTCTGGAACCGGCCCAAACCAAAGTCTGGCTTGTTTTGCGGAGAAAGTTGCTCTTTTCTGGTTCTTGAACCAGAACTGGGTCTCTGGTCATCAGTTGAATAATGGTTGCCTTGTTGCATTGTACGGCATTAATATCCTGGAGCATCAGCATCGCGCAAAAATTAGCATCGTGCAACATTAGCATTGTGCAGCAGTAGCATTGTACAGCAGCAGCATCCTGCAGCATCAGCATTGTGCAGCATTAGCATTGTGCAGCAGTAGCATCCTGCAGCAGTACCATTGTGCAGCATTAGCATTGTGCAGCATTAGCATTGTGCAACATTAAGATCATGCAGCAGTAGCATCCTGCAGCATTAGCATTGTGTAACATTAGCATCCTGCAACATTAGCATCGTGCAGCATTAGCATTGTGTAACATTAGCATCCTGCAGCATTAGCATTCTGCAACATTAGCATTGTGCAGCATTAGCATTGTGCAGAATTAGCATCGTTGCGAGTTCAGGATCCCCTGGGCTGCTGCTGTCTCAAAACAACCAGAATGAGGAAGTTGTGGGAAATATCTGCAAACAGAAAGACTAACGACTCGGCAGAAATGTGTTGCTGCACGCATCTCTAGGTGCAGGGTGACGAAACGCAGGCGGGAGCAGCTCAAGTTTTCCTTCAACTGGTTTGAAATCTGCTCAGTCGTCCAGATTCTTCTTGCTGGCAGCTGCAGGTGAGAGACAGGAAGTGGAAAACCACTCTCAGGTTTGAAACTGCAGAATCCTCCGATCAGCTCTGCAGTCAGAAATATGAATGTTGAGCTGCTCCATCAGCAGCAGCTCCTCTGGACAGGTGGAGGTCAGAGGTCAGCGACTACAGAGAGCCACTTCTGCTTTTCAAGCTTCTGATTCAAATGAAGGATTTCCTGTTGAGCGTCTCAGCAGAGAATTTTACCATAAAAGGAGTCAGACGAGGCAGGAAGCCGAAAGACGAGTCCTCACCTGCAGAGAGGTGGGGCCAGAGCTGGAGCCGGCCAATCAGCTGCTGCGGCTCCGCAACAGAAAGGAAGTCAGTTAGACTGACTGGGTTAACTGGGTTTAACCGGGTCTGCCGGCTTTTGGGACGGCATTCAACCAGCAACCTGTCTGATTTCAACTTTCACAAACAGAAAAGTGAAACTTGAATTAGGAGGAGAAAGAGTCATTTCCACAAACAAAGATCTGAAAAGTGTGGTGTGCACTTTATTCTACCTCTAAATGAATAAATCACCTGATCAGCTCCAGAGTCCAGCTGGTTCTGGTTCTGGTCTCAGAGCTTGCCCAGAGATCGGAGCGGTGGAACCAGTAACTATTTTCTTTTGGACTTTATGTTGCTATTATGATGATTATTGAAGGAGCAATTACTATAATCCCCAGCAGGATGCGGCCCGGCCTGGACCGGGGGTCATGCAGGTAATGGACCGTGCTGCTGAATGAACACCTGATGGAGCCCTGGGCATATATGACCTTTGACCCCCGACACCTCGTCACCAGGAAATAGCCCGCACTCATCGCTCGCGCTGCATCTCATGCCCATATAAGGCATCGTTGAGCTGCTGCCCGCCGCGCCGCTTCCTCTGAGCGGCTCCACGCCGCCCTCTGCTGCTGGAGGAAGGAACTGCAGCCGATGCTTTCTGCTGAGCATCTGAAATGATTTCTAAATAATTGGTTTAGAAATCATCAGACAAACTCATCAGGTTTGTCTGATGAGTTTAAGTTGATTCATTTTATGATCCTGCCGCATGATTTCTGTTCAGCGGGATTTATTTTGGTTTACTGATGAGCGTTTTTCTTTGCTTCTTTTGTGTCACTAAATTAAAACTACAGCTCTTGATTTTGAGTAAATTACATCCAAACTGTCATTTTGAAAGATTGTTTGAGCAGAGCGGCTCCGCAGCCCACCTGTCTGAGTAAGATGCACAAGTTAAACGCAATGAAATGATTTGAGTTAATGGAAGACTTTCAGTTAATAGCTCAAATAATCTCATTAGTTTTATTTATTTATTCATTTTTATTGCATTTAAAGTCATTTATTTATGTAGCTCTAGTCTTTATATCCCGTTAGATTTGCTGACAGTAGGAGTTATTTGTATTTTTCTGTAACGTTAGTTTCTGACGTCATGTTTGAGATCGTCCTGGTGGGTCAACACACTGCGCCATCTGCTGGCCGTTCGTGGAACTGCACGGCGGCATGAGCTGAATATCTGCAGATTCATGTTTTCAAAATAATCAAAAAAGAAAATCAAATAAAGATTTTTAACAATCAAACCTTTTCATCCTTCAAGCTGCTTTCTGATCCAGAAACAGGAGCTGACCCAGTTTCAGCAACATCGGAACCGAACCGACCTGATTCTGCTCCTGAACGCAGCCCTGCTGCGCCCCGCCCCCAGCGCCCAATCAGAGCCCGGCGAGCGGGAAGTGGAGCGATGTGATTGGCTGCTGCCCCCCTCCATCCAAGGCTGAGCCGCTGCGGATCTGCGGTTCGGGACTCGCTCTGCGTGGCGGTGCGTGGCGAGTCTGACCTTCCCCACGTAGCTGCAGGTCTGTGCGGGTTGCTCAGGTGGAAATGCTCATCCGATGACAGTCATTGATCATCTGGCTGTGACGTCACTCAGGCAGCCGCGGCAGGTAGAAGGTGTCCGGCCACCTGGGACGGAAAAGAGCGGCTGGTAAACCGGAAGTCAGGCGGAGTCATGTGACCCAGAGAGCGGCGGGGATGGAGAAAGGGGGGCGGGGGGTGAAAAGATGGGGGGGCGGGGGGGGGTTCTCTGGTCACGTGATCCAGCTGATGTTTCACCAAGCAGACTGAAATGTTTGTTCTCAAATGAATGTTGTCTGGTTGCGGTCCTGCAGAGCATCATGGGTAACAGCGACAGCGTGATGGTGGAGAAGCGGATGGCCCGGTTCCGTCCAGAGGAGCGGTCCGTGATCCACGGCGTGTTCGAGCGTCTGCAGGCCGGCGACCCGGGGAAGACGCTCCGGCTGGAGGCGCTGCAGGTCAGAGGAGGCTGAAGGTCGTCCTTCCACTAACTGTTCTTGGGTCCGCCACTGGGGCCGGAGGAACTTTGAACTGGACCGAAAGAGCCCAGAAGGTTCATGAAGGTGACCTTTGACCTGGGTCCACCAGAATGCTGCAGCTGCTGCACAAACAATAATAATCCTAATGGATTTCATTAATATTAAACGTCACCATCACTGGAGGACGCCCCCTGGTGGACAGAAATGGAAAACCTTCGTTCTGCTGGAGACCTTTGATCATCAATGGATCTGATTTCATTGATTACGTCACAAAGTTTATTTGAAAGTTTCCTCCTTAATTCATTTATCATCCTGAATTAGACGGCTGCTCAGCCAATCAGATGAAGCCGATTAAAATAAACAACCTCAACGCTTCGCTGATAGTTCATAAATTACCAACTGGCAGGGGTCAGAGGTCATGGAGTCAGCCTGTGGAATATTCTGTGATAGAGATTCAATGATCCTTTAATCAGTTTGTCAGTTTGACACCTGGAGGAGAATCCAGATGATGACGAAGCAGTGAGGAAGAGGAGGGCTTTGATTAATCATTATTGATTATTGAATATCAATTTAAATGTTTTATTTTCTGTGCTACATTGAATAAATTCTACAATTATCTTCAAATCCATGACAAAAACCAGCAGAAATAAATCTAGTGAATAATGAAATGAAACAGTGATAACAGAACCAGTCCTGTTGGTCCTGACCCGGTCCGTTCTGGTGAAGAACCTGAGTCCCGTCCAGCGTTGTCCCCTCTGCTAGTGCGTCTCCTCTTGTCCTGCAGGCCTTCCTGGGGACCCTGGTCCCCGTCGCCATGGTGACCAGGATATTCTGGGGCCTGTGCAGCATCGAGGCGGGCCGGGCGGAACCGGGCCGGGCGGAACCGGGCCGGGCGGAACCGGGCCGGGCCGGCGCTTCCCAGGGGCCGAGTCGAGAGCAGCTGACGGTCTTCCTGGCAGACATCCTGCGGGGGACGGCGGAGGAGCGAGCGCCGCTGGTCATGGCCATGTCCCACAATGCAGCGGGGCGGCCACGGGCGGTCAGCTGCCAGCAGGTGGCGGCGGTGAGTAGGAAGGGGAGGAGGGCAGGAAGTGATGTCGGGTGGAGGCTCACGGCTGTGCTCCGTAGTTCCTGGAGGACCTGATCACTGCTGTAGTTCACATCCTGACCAGCAGGGGGCGCCTGCAGGGCTGGAGGCCGCAGCAGATGGGCGACACGGCGCTGGGGGTCAAGCTGCTGGCCGAGCAGATGACCTCTGACCTCAGACCTTCGGGTAAGCTCCCGCTCCAAGGCCACGCCCCCTTTGTGTCTGACCCCGCCTCTTTCTCTCTGACCCCACCCTTTTCTGTCCTCAGACCCGGCGACCTGTGACCTGTCCTGTCTGGAGGACTGGGTCTTCCGGGTCGCCCAGGTCTCCCAGTACCTGGAGGTTCTGGTGGCCGACGGGCTGGACGTCTCCCTGGGCGGCGGCACGGCGCCGGCGCTGCTGCCGCCGTGCCGGGACACGGACTGGACCCACCTGACCGTCCTGCTGGACGTCCCCACGCTCATGTTCCTGGCTCCACAGGTGAGTCAGAACCAGAACCGGGACCAAGAGCAGAACAAAGACAAGGACCAGAACCAGAACCGGGACCAGAGACTAAAGTCTCAGGTCAGAGAAACTTTGATTCCTGCAGCAGGAAGATAGAGACACTGAATGGTTCTACATTATCTAGTTCTACATCATCTAGTTCTACACCATCCAGTTTTACATCATCTAGTTCTACATTTTCTAGTTCTACATCATCTAGTTCTACATCATCTAGTTCTACACCATCCAGTTTTACATCATCTAGTTCTACATTTTCTAGTTCTACATCATCTAGTTCTACATCATCTAGTTCTACACCATCTAGTTCTACATTATCTATTCTACATTGTCTAGTTCTACATCATCTAGTTCTACACGATCTAGTTCTACATCATCCAGTTCTACATCATCTAGTTCTACATTATCTAGTTCTACATTATCTAGTTCTACATCATCTAGTTCTACATTATCTAGTTCTACATTATCTAGTTCTACATCATCTAGTTCTACATTGTCTAGTTCTACATTATCTAGTTCTACACCATCTAGTTCTACATCATCTAGTTCTACATTATCTAGTTCTACATTATCTAGTTCTACATCATCTAGTTCTACATTATCTAGTTCTACATCATCTAGTTCTACATTATCTAGTTCTACATCATCTAGTTCTACATTATCTAGTTCTACATTATCTAGTTCTACATTATCTAGTTCTACATTATCTAATTCTATACCTTCCTGTTCTACACCATCTAGTTCTACATTATCTAGTTCTACACCATCTAGTTCTGCATTATCTAGTTCTACACCATCTAGTTCTACATCATCTAGTTCTACACCATCTAGTTCTTCACCATCTAGTTCTACATTATCTAGTTCTACATTGTCTAGTTCTACACCTTCCTGTTCTACACCGTCTAGTTCTACATCATCTAGTTCTGCATTATCTAGTTCTACACCATCTAGTTCTGCATTATCTAGTTCTACACCATCTAGTTCTACATCATCTAGTTCTACACCATCTAGTTCTACATTATCTAGTTCTACATTATCTAGTTCTACATCATCTAGTTCTACACCATCTAGTTCTACATTATCTAGTTCTACATTGTCTAGTTCTACACCTTCCTGTTCTACACCGTCTAGTTCTACATCATCTAGTTCTACATTATCTAGTTCTACACCATCTAGTTCTACATCATCTAGTTCTACACCATCTAGTTCTACATTATCTAGTTCTACACCATCTAGTTCTACATCATCTAGTTCTACACCATCTAGTTCTACATTATCTAGTTCTACACCATCTAGTTCTACATCATCTAGTTCTACACCATCTAGTTCTACATTATCTAGTTCTACACCATCTAGTTCTACATTATCTAGTTCTACATCATCTAGTTCTACACCATCTAGTTCTACATCATCTAGTTCTACACCATCTAGTTCTACATCATCTAGTTCTACACCATCTAGTTCTACATTATCTAGTTCTACATTATCTAGTTCTACACCATCTAGTTCTACATCATCTAGTTCTACACCATCTAGTTCTACATTATCTAGTTCTACACCATCTAGTTCTACATCATCTAGTTCTACATCATCTAGTTCTACACCATCTAGTTCTACATTATCTAGTTCTACATTATCTAGTTCTACATTATCTAGTTCTACATTGTCTAGTTCTACACCTTCCTGTTCTACACCGTCTAGTTCTACATCATCTAGTTCTACACCATCTAGTTCTACATTATCTAGTTCTACACCATCTAGTTCTACATTATCTAGTTCTACATTATCTAGTTCTACATTATCTAGTTCTACATTATCTAGTTCTACACCATCTAGTTCTACATTATCTAGTTCTACACCATCTAGTTCTACACCATCTAGTTCTACATCACCTGGTTCATCAATCACTAAAGAACAGACCAAAGATGTGCTGCTGGATCAACCTGCTGGTTCTGGTTGTGGTTCTGCTCTGCAGTCGGAACCGGGCCGAGCCTTCCCCAGCGTGTCCGTCTCTCCCCAGCTCCCAGACGGCTGCAGCGCCCCCTGGAGGCTGGTCTTCTCCACGCAGCTGCACGGGGAGAGCTTCACCAAGATGGCCGCCGCTCTGCAGCACCACGGCCCCACGTTGCTGCTGCTGCGGGACGACCGGGGCCACGTGTTCGGAGGCTACGCGTCCACCGCCTGGGAGATCAAGCCCCAGTTTCAGGGTAGGAGGCTCACTGGGTCAGAACCGGCCTTGGTGTTGGGACCAGCAGGACAAATTGGACTTCAGCTGGTCCAACCGGAGGCAGATCCGGTTTGGGTCCGATTTAGGTCCTGCTAGCAGTGCAGTCACCATCATTCCTCTTCACTCCGTTTCCTCAGCAGCAGCAGGGACAAACGAATCGTTTCCTGGAACCGACCACTACTTGATCTCAATGCTGATGGTTGTCCTGATGACCATCAGTCATGACGTTCATCATTTCTCGATTCATTGGGAAATGATGAATCGGTTGCAGTGTGCCCCCTGGTGGCCAGGCTCCTGACCTACTGACCTCAGCTTCACCGTGAGGAATAATGAAAACAGAAAGAGAAAAAATGAGTCACATTCAGCAACCAGCAGCTTCTGTGTTGTTCAGACTAAAGAAAAGCCAAAGAAGCAGAGCTGGGTTAAAGGTCACCTTTTAAAGATGGCTGCTGCTAATAGAAGAATGTAACTATGTCTACGTTCAATATCTACCAAAAGTTTTCACCTTTATGTTGCTTTAACTAATCAATTATAAGTTAAGAAACTTTCATAGTCGGTGTTTAGTATCAGCACCTCTGGACTCATCTGCTGAAACGCTGGGAACAGATCTGGGCTTTAACTAGGCCAGTCCAGACTGTCGTCACCTCTGAAGCTGAATGCTGTTGCCATGGTAACCTTTTGTCCTCTCCTTCGTTAACAAAGACTAATTGAGTTGATCACGATTCATTAACCGAAGGGATGAATAGTTTTGGTAGTGCATGTTAAATATCTTCCTGGTGAAACATGAGGAGGCTGAGCAGAGACAGGAAGTAACCAGCTGGACTTCCTGGACCAGACTGCTTGAAGAAGGCAGACCAGCGGCAGCCATTTTGGCTCTGCTCAGCTGGAGGCGGAAAGCCACACAGCCAGGAAGTGGCTCTGCTGATTTGAATATGGTGGACAGGAGCATGATGGTGTGTGTGTGTGTGTGTGTGTGTGTGTGTGTGTGTGTGTGTGTGTGGGGGGTGTGTGTGTGTGTGTGTGTGTGGTGTGTGTGTGTGTGTGTGTGTGTGTGTGTGTGCAGGTGACTCCAGATGCTTCCTGTTCTCGGTCTTCCCCACGCTGAGGGTTTACACAGCGACAGGATACAACCAACACTTCATGTACCTGAACCAGCACCAGCAAACGATGCCCAACGGACTGGTGAGACTGGGCCCAGTGGAGCGGAGCCGCTTCACGCTCCGGCGCCGCTGTGACCTCACAGACAGGAAGTCACAGCAGCAGCTGAAAACAACGGGGCTACTGAAGGAGCTGCACTCGCATGTTCAATCGATAAATCGGCTAAAAAAGCAGCGTCTTTGCTGCTGTGACATGATTAGCACTGAGGTGCGTCACATTTATGGGTGTACCAGAAACACAGGAACACAAAGGTTCCTGCTCAGAACTTTGGATCCAAAAGTGACACCAACTGCGTTCAAATTTTGGACAAGTTAAAATCAATGTGATGAATTAATGTCAACTAACCAGTTAAAGTCCCAGGCTACCTGTCAGGTGACCCTTCAGGGTATGAGGTCAATCTGCTGGTTGCCATGGTAACGGTCTCTTCCTCCCCTCAGGGCATGGGGGGTCAGCACAACTACTTCGGCCTGTGGCTGGACAGCGAGTTCGGCCGCGGTCACAGCCGCGCTCGCCCCAAATGCACGACGTACGGAAACCCGCAGCTGTCGGCCGATGAAGATTTCGTCCTGGACGCTGTGGAGGTCTGGGCCGCAGGGAAACTGCCGGAACCGCCCGAGGTACGGAGCGGGACCACAGGACCAAGGTTCTGAACCGGTTTAAACTGGTCTGAACCGTTTTAACTGATCTGAACCGGTTTAAACTGGTCTGAACCGTTTTAACTGATCTGAACCGGTTTAAACTGATCTGAACCGGTTTAAACTGGTCTGAACCGGTTTAAACTAGTCTGAACCGGTTTAAACTGGTCTGAACCGGTTTAAACCAATCTGAACCGGTTTAAACTAGTCTGAACCGGTTTAAACCAATCTGAACCGGTTTAAACTAGTCTGAACCGGTTTGTGGTGGTGGTGCCATGTTGAGCGTCTCTTGGTGCTTCAGGACGAGGAAGAGGAGGAGGGGAAGAAGAGAATCCTGAACGTGGATCCGGAGGTCCAGGCCATGATGGAGCTGACGGGGAAGACTCTGCACAGCAAGGGGTTCAATGAGCTGCAGGAAGACTTTGACTAGGCCTTGTGCCACTACATTCTGCTTCCTCACCCCCAGATTGTTGTTCCAGTTGGAGTTTCGGCCCCCTGCAGGCCTCCGGGTTAGGTGCCCAAAGTGTGGCGCGGGGTCCTTTGTGGCCCTTCAAATGATTTTGTTTGGCCCCTGACCACAAGTCAAGAAATGTAAACATTTTGGCCAATTTCAGTTTCCAAACGGACAATTTGCAAAATATTTGTTTTTCTTTTAATAACCCAACAGTCTGAAGGTCTTTTTATGTCAAACCCAAAATCTGACCAAGTATTTAAAGTTTGTAGCATCAAAGTCTGAATGCACCATAAATGAGGCAGGAAGAGCGTCTCGTTCTGAGTCAATGATCTATTAGGGGTCAAATAATCTGCTGACTTTTCAATGTAAGTTTGTTTTGTCTTATTTCATGTCTGCTGAGATGTTTGCTCTAGAAACTTGAAATACTTGGTCAGATTTTGTGTTTTTGCAGTTTCAGCAGGTTTCATTAAAAACATTAGTTGAGCAAAAACAACAAAAATGTAATAATCACAAATGTTTGCATTTTAATTCAATGACATTTGGCTGCTTGAAATCAGTCAGTTTTGGCCCTCAGGGCAAAATGTTTGGGCCCCTGATTCAACGCTTGATGTGTTGAAGCAGAAAGAGCTGAAGCTGCTGCTGAGTGGTCTGGTTCTGAACCCGGTCTGGTTCTGAACCCGGTCCGGTTCTGAACCCGGTCCGGTTCTGAACCCGGTCCGGTTCTGAACCCGGTCTGGTTCTGAACCCGGTCCGGTTCTGAACCCGGTCCTGTCGGCTCCTCGCCTGCTGACGGGTTTTTACGCTTTAAATGAAGAAAGAAACAAACTTCAGATCTGATGAAACGTTTTGCTGATTTTTCATTGCATGTGGTTCAAATCTCATCCTGTGTGTTGTGATTATCGCAGCGCTGTGTCGATGTAGTAAACGCCCTCTTCTCGTTTCCTCAAGTGACTGAAGGGGTTTTTATTGAGGGGCATCATGGGAACAGTGGCAAAATAAAATGCACACCACACTTTTCAGATTTTTATTAGTGATATGAATCTTTCCCCAGTTATGATCTGGTTTGAGGGAAATTTTGTTTGTTTTTCAGCTTTTTTGGCTCTTCTTGTTAATTTCCGGGTGTCGGAGTATAGGGGCGGTGAATGCCACACCTTTCAGATTTTTATTTGTTTTCTTCTGGTTCTCGTCACGGAAACAAGAACCGGCTCAGCGGGGAGCGTTTTGTTACACCTGATTGTGATGAACGAGGCTCGGTCAGGGGTCCTTCCTGCAGCCCAGCGTCACAGACTGCTACTGGAGCTGCTGCAGGCGGCCAGCGGCTGACAGGCTGCCTCCTCTTCCTCCTCTTCCTCTTCCTCCTCTTCCTCTCATGCAAATCTCCGTTTGATCGTCACGACAACCTTCTGGATCAGTTTCCATGGAGACCATCAACAGCCCTGCTTCAGAAACTGAAGCTGTACTTCAGAGGTCAAAGGTCAAGAGAACAATTCTGTCATCAGCTTCATTTCCATTCATGGACTTTGAGTTTAAACGGGTCACAAAGGTTTGAAATGTTATTTTAGGTTTTAAAGTTCTGGTCCGGTTCAGATGTTGATCCAAAAGAACCAAATTATATATTGAGATCTCAAAGGATTTTTAAAGACTTAGACTTTATTGATCACTATTAATAAATTTGGGAAAACTTGATCTGAGCATAAGACATGACTCTGTCATAAACATGGAGGTTTTATGAACGTTTGTTGTCCTGAATGGGTGAATTATGACACTTGATGCAAAGTTGCTTTAAAAGTTTCACAGTTTAGCAAATGAAAAACTCCTTCATGTTCCCTAACCCATGAACATGACAGGATCACATGACAGGATCACATGACAGGATCACATGACAGGATCACATGACAGGATCATGTGAGGCTTCTGACATGAAGCAAAGTGTTGCCAGAAATTCTGTTGTGATCAAACAGAATCTGAATAAAAACCATCAGAGGGTTTAATCCAACTCGTTATCAATGATCAATATCTCTGAAAAGTCTTGATTGGACTGGACATGGAGGTGGCACTATCATGCTGTGGGCTGCAGGTCCATTCAGGTTCTGGACGGCCCAGCTGGAACCCAACCGGAAGTGTCCGGTCCAGAACCTTTTGAAGCTGAAAGTCAATCTGTTTCGAACTTTTCACCGCTTCCGGTTTCACAGATGAACTTATCGATCAGGTCCCGGCTTCAATATGGGGCCAAAAAGAGACTTTCAACCAGAACCAGTGGGACCAGTAGAGCCCAGTAGAACCATCGCATCATGGCTTCTGGAAGCTGCGCCTCTACTTTGCATAGATAGCGTCCTCTCTCTCTCTCTCTCTCTCTTCCGGACTCGCTGCTTCATCCAGTCAACTTTTACTTCCTCGTCGCGCCGCGGATAGAGGAACTGACCGCCCCGCCGCGGCCGCTCAGCCCGCTCTTCCTCCCGCTTTGTTTCACACCGTCGGAACCATGACCCGGTAGCGGAGCGGCGGACCGACCCGACACCGACCGGAGCAAAAGGTAAGACCTGCGGGCCGGCGGCTCCAGGCTGCAGGTGCAGCGGCGCTGCTGCGTTCAGGGTCTCACCCAGAACCAGGAAGAAAGCGCCTCATGTGGCCCAGCTGAGCTTTCTACCTCTTCCAGCGGTGAGACCCATCGAGCCTCCTCGGGGACCGGGGCAGGGGGCCCCACGCGGGGCCCCACGCGGGGCCCCACGCGGGGCCTGAGAAACTGAAAAAGTTTCTCAGGTTTTTTTGATCTGGTTTTGTTGTTTGGATCCCCAAATAATCAGGAGTTTATTTCCTCAGAGAAAAAACCCAGAAGAGCCAATATGTTCGGACAAATATCAGATTCAACAAAACTTTCATTTATTAAGTCAAAAACTGACCTGCTGGGAAAAGTCTTCAGCCTTTGGTGAACTTTGACCCCCTGCTGAAGTTATTCAGACACTTTGGAGGGTTTCAGAGCTGCAACGGCCAGCGGCAGGTCATTAGACGGCATCTCAGTCAGAGTAACATCCTGACTTTGACTAGGCCACTCTAAAACCCGGCTTCATGCTGCCAGGCTGGTTCTGATGGTTTGTTCCCTTAAATTGAAGGCGACCAAACGTTTGGACCAAACCGGTCCGGGTCTCGGTGGTTCCAGCAGAAATGATTGACCTCATTTTAAATCCATCACTTATTGATTTATTGGTTACTGTGGCAGGCCGAGGTTGCAGCCGTCGTCTTCCAATGCAAATATTTCCAGTGTGGGGTCAGAGGTCAGTCGCGGTTCTGACTGTCGTTGGGTTCTGTTCGGGTCCGGTCGATTCCAGCCAACAGAACTGGGATTATGATGAGGATCAGAGGCTAAACCGACTCCGTTATTGATCAGCTGGTCCATTCTTCAGCTGATCAGATTCTGAACGGATCAGAACCGAACCACAGAGAGCAACCTGGTTGCTAGGCAACTCTTCCTCACCTGTGCCAGTGAAGCTGCTGGTGGTTTATTGGCAGCGACGCCTTGGACCTGTTATCAGTAACAAGTAATCGAACGTGTTGATTTCTCAAATCCAGATGAAAGTTGCTTATTATTATTGTTACCATTTTCTTTCCTCTGCCGTCTCGGCGCCGTTTCTATGCGACAGTATAAACAATGGATGCGCGTCGCATTATGTTGGTGGAAAAACAGAAACTATTTTAACTTTCTGTCAAGTCCGATTCAATGAGTCGAGGGTTGCTCCTTTTTGAACCTCAAGTTTCTCATTTGGGCTTTTTAAATAAGCAGAGACTCATAATAAACCCAGAATGTGTCTGACGTCCAGGTGGTTTTGCTCCATCATTTCCCGGATGATCCGTCCGTCTGCGTCTCTTAATGTCAAGTTCAAACATGAGCAGCGAACGACGGCGAGCTTCACGCTGAGCTCCAGGAACTGCAAACATGGAGACTGATATGAACAGAGCAGAGAACCTGGAAACAGCCACGAATGAACGAGTCGCTAAAAGTTGTGCAACTAAACGCCATGATAATTATTTAGATGAAGTCACAAAGCATGTGAGCCGTGGAGGCGCAGGAGGAGCTGCAGGAGGAGCTGCAGGAGGAGCTGCAGGAGGAGCTGCAGGAGGAGCTGCAGGAGGAGCTGTAGGAGGAGCTGAGGGCAGGAGGAGCTGCAGGAGGAGCTGCAGGAGGAGCTGAGGGCAGGAGGAGCTGCAGGAGGAGCTGCAGGAGGAGCTGAGGGCAGGAGGGAGGAGCTGAGGGCAGGAGGAGCTGCAGGAGGAGCTGCAGGAGGAGCTGCAGGAGGAGCTGAGGGCAGGAGGAGCTGCAGGAGGAGCTGCAGGAGGAGCTGCAGGAGGAGCTGTAGGAGGAGCTGAGGGCAGGAGGAGCTGCAGGAGGAGCTGAGGGCAGGAGGAGCTGCAGGAGGAGCTGCAGGAGGAGCTGTAGGAGGAGCTGCAGGAGGAGCTGCAGGAGGAGCTGAGGGCAGGAGGAGCTGCAGGAGGAGCTGTAGGAGGAGCTGTAGGAGGAGCTGCAGGAGGAGCTGCAGGAGGAGCTGTAGGAGGAGCTGCAGGAGGAGCTGCAGGAGGAGCTGCAGGAGGAGCTGCAGGAGGAGCTGAGGGCAGGAGGAGCTGCAGGAGGAGCTGTAGGAGGAGCTGCAGGAGGAGCTGAGGGCAGGAGGAGCTGCAGGAGGAGCTGCAGGAGGAGCTGCAGGAGGAGCTGCAGGAGGAGCTGCAGGAGGAGCTGCAGGAGGAGCTGAGGCAGGAGGAGCTGCAGGAGGAGCTGCAGGAGGAGCTGCAGGAGGAGCTGCAGGAGGAGCTGTAGGAGGAGCTGCAGGAGGAGCTGCAGGAGGAGCTGTAGGAGGAGCTGCAGGAGGAGCTGCAGGAGGAGCTGCAGGAGGAGCTGTAGGAGGAGCTGCAGGAGGAGCTGCAGGAGGAGCTGTAGGAGGAGCTGCAGGAGGAGCTGCAGGAGGAGCTGCAGGAGGAGCTGCAGGAGGAGCTGTAGGAGGAGCTGCAGGAGGAGCTGCAGGAGGAGCTGCAGGAGGAGCTGCAGGAGGAGCTGAGGGCAGGAGGAGCTGCAGGAGGAGCTGCAGGAGGAGCTGAGGGCAGGAGGAGCTGTAAGAGGAGCTGAGGGCAGGAGGAGCTGAGGGCAGGAGGAGCTGCAGGAGGAGCTGTAAGAGGAGCTGAGGGCAGGAGGAGCTGAGGGCAGGAGGAGCTGCAGGAGGAGCTGTAGGAGGAGCTGAGGGCAGGAGGAGCTGAGGGCAGGAGGAGCTGCAGGAGGAGCTGCAGGAGGAGCTGCAGGAGGAGCTGAGGGCAGGAGGAGCTGCAGGAGGAGCTGTAGGAGGAGCTGAGGGCAGGAGGAGCTGCAGGAGGAGCTGCAGGAGGAGCTGCAGGAGGAGCTGAGGGCAGGAGGAGCTGCAGGAGGAGCTGTAGGAGGAGCTGGAGGAGGAGCTGCAGGAGGAGCTGCAGGAGGAGCTGTAGGAGGAGCTGTAGGAGGAGCTGAGGGCAGGAGGAGCTGCAGGAGGAGCTGCAGGAGGAGCTGCAGGAGGAGCTGAGGGCAGGAGGAGCTGCAGGAGGAGCTGTAAGAGGAGCTGCAGGAGGAGCGCAGGAGGAGCTGCAGGAGGAGCTGTAGGAGGAGCTGTAAGAGGAGCTGCAGGAGGAGCTGAGGGCAGGAGGAGCTGAGGGCAGGAGGAGCTGCAGGAGGAGCTGTAGGAGGAGCTGCAGGAGGAGCTGTAGGAGGAGCTGCAGGAGGAGCTGAGGCAGGAGGAGCTGCAGGAGGAGCTGTAAGAGGAGCTGCAGGAGGAGCTGCAGGAGGAGCTGCAGGAGGAGCTGTAGGAGGAGCTGCAGGAGGAGCTGCAGGAGGAGCTGCAGGAGGAGCTGCAGGAGGAGCTGTAAGAGGAGCTGTGCTCTGACCTGGAGGAGCTTTCAAATCCTTCTGAGAGTTTATAGAAACACAAATGACCAGCGTTGCTTTTTATGTTGTAACCATGAAACAATCTCCCCTGCAGCTCAGCTGATCACTGGAGACACATTGTTTGATGTTGCAGTTATGAGAAAATGATGAAAGTGATTTTCACAGCGTTGTTCGCAGCAGCTGGAAGTAACTAAAATAGTTACTTTTAATGGAACTGAGTTACTTTCCAAACCAAGTAATCAGTAATCCCAGTTACTTTTCAAGGAGGGATCAGTAATCCGATTATAATTACTTTTTCAAAGTAACTCTGCCATCACTGGTTACTGGGCGCCAACTGGGAGCTAACAGGTCTGACTGGTTGCTGCTGGGAGAACTGGTGGAGCTGCTCTGGTCGGTCCGGTTGGAGCCCAGAACTTGTCCAACCCGGTTCTGAGTCTGATGGGGATCGAGTGAACACCGCTTGGACTAGACCTGTTTTTTTGGCTCATCACCACTTAAAAATAATTTCTTATTTACATTTCACTCATATTTGGGTTTCTGAGCAACTGGTTGGACACTGAGGATGACTGAACCCGAGGCGGACGAAGGAAAGAAGCAAGATGAGGTTCAGATCCAGGCGGCACCTGGAGCTGCGCAAGGAGAACCGGAACTGAAGCTGATCCAGCATGTGAGCAGGATGCGGGATCCTGCTGCGATAAATAACGTCAGCAAGACAGCGAACGATAGATTTAAGGATCTTGAAGAATCTCAGTTATCTTTATTAAATCTCGTTGACCGGATGGATTAAGGAGGTGGAAGACGCTACATCCAACCAGAGGTCCGCCTCTCCAAACTGGAGGAGCCCTGCAGGCTGAGAACCAAGCCTGAAAATGATTGATTCCAGAATATTAAAATCATCGGGTTGCAGGAAAAGATGGAGGGTGGACGTCCAAGAGAGTTTCTGATGAAGTTCATTCCGGAACTGCTTGGAGCGGGTTAGGGTCTTTTTTTTAGTTCTTCTTGTTTAAAAAATATTTGATGTGTTTCAGTACACTGCCAGGCTGACTGAGTGCACTGAGGCCAATCTGTTGAAAAATGTCTGTGTCATAACACATCATTACACGGCGGTGGCGGCATCATGTCTGCCAGTTGGTACACGTCCTAAAAAGGCCTAAAGTATTTTCTCACTAAATTCCTCTTCCTCCTCCTGCTCCTCCTCTTCCTCCTCCTCCTCTTCCTCTTCCTGCTCTTCCTCCTCCTCTTCCTCCTCCTGCTCCTCCTCTTCCTCCTCCTCTTCCTCCTCCTCCTCCTCTTCCTCCTCCTCCTCCTCCTCTTCCTCCTTCTTCCTCCTCCTCCTCCTCTTCCTCCTCCTCCTCTTCCTCTTCCTCCTCTTCCTGCTCTTCCTCCTCCTCCTCCTCTTCCTCCTCTCCTCCTCTTCCTCCTCCTCCTGCTCTTCCTCTTCCTCCTCCTCCTCTTCCTCCTCCTCCTCTTCCTCTTCCTCCTCTTCCTGCTCTTCCTCCTCCTCTTCCTCCTCCTCCTCCTCTTCCTCCTCCTCCTCTTCCTCTTCCTCCTCCTCCTGCTCTTCCTCCTCCTCTTCCTCCTCCTCCTCCTCTTCCTCCTCCTCCTGCTCTTCCTCCTCCTCCTCCTCTTCCTCCTCC